GTTTAAAAAGTAAATAATATTTTTAAAATGTCAGAGCTCAGAGTATGCATGTCRTGGAAGACTCCTACTTTTGAGCTCAACATGTGCAAAATTGAGTTSAGGCCATTTAAGTCGATTAACTCATACCAACTGGATATAAAWCCAAAAGTTAATCAGTTGTAGATTACGGTTGTATTAAAATGAATTTGGTGATTTGTAGGATATTTTACTAACAAACACAAGTGCAAGCATGCTTTTCAGTGAAATATTCAGAACAAGAAAACTTTAAAAGATAAAATCATTTGTGTTTACTGAAAGTGTGAATGATTCATGATGCATTGAGTTGCTGTAAATTGCATTAAAAGACACAGATGATTTTTCTTTTTTTATTTGTTTGTATARACCCTCAGAGACGAACAGGTCCTGCATGACAAAAATACATCTCTGATAAAATCTCTGTATCAGCAACCAGAAACTACTTCAAGTCAAACATTCATGAAAACACCTTTTTTTTTGTAATAAATATAGAATGCAAAATATACACCACACTTTAGATCAGTCCCACATGGTCACAATTACATTCTGTACATATTGCATGTTTTACATCAGCTGCATTAACCATTTAATAGCTGGTCTTGTGATGCGAAACCTATAACAGTCACTGTTAAAGAGGTGGATTTGGAACAAAAACTATCCACTTTCAATGTGACACAAGCTCCGAGTGTCTGAGCAGTGGACATTTTCACACAGTAACATTTGATTTTAAACAGCAGGACTCCAATAACTAAATGGTTAAATAAAACAAAATTTCATCCAATAACGTCTTTGTTTAGAGACACCTGCATGTGAACAGGTGAGGTACATTCAACAAAATGTAGCTGGACTTCAACCTTTAAAGTGTTTTTCACTTAATACATGAGAGAGGAAAAAAGTGCTTTAAATGRTTGTAAATTTTACAACTTTAGCTCAATCTTAGGGAGACAGATCGTCTGTCGTTMGGACAGAATTAGGTGCTTAGAGGGGAGCAGATACATGTGCCTGGTTTTAGCAGAGAAAATAGTTTCAGTACYAAAACACTATATCTAAATAAAAATATTCATTTAAAAACAAACACATTATTATATTATATATATTATAAAATGATATTTTTCCATCTTTGCAGCTGGTTCAGAACCTGCATTCTGAGTAAAGCTTCGTTCCAGTATTAAAAACTAGATTTGGGCAAAAAAATATGCATTTATCAAGTTTTGGGGAACATCACATTCAAACTTCTCTTAAGAAAAATAAAGAAAATACTGTGATTTTTGGGATACAGCAAAAATAACAAATTTAGGTTTCTCTAAAGAAATTCTTCAAATTTATAACTTTGTTTCAGTTTTATTTTTGCTGAAACATTTTTAATAACCTTGACTTTTATTATTTTCAAATTGTGTCATGCTAAATCAGTAGTACTATTACAGAAATGTACACGGTCGTTCCAGTTTTAACAAAAAAAAAATCGAAGTTTTCTTTTGGTAAAAGAATACGTCTCCAGTCACTTTGGTCAAACTCATGAAGGATTCCTCATTACAAAGTTATCCTGGCTTGAATCTTATAGAACTGAAACAAAAAGGACAACATCACAAGCATATTTAACGTCTAGACTCGGCCTTGAATACAGTAGTTATATCACTAAAAATCTGACTTTGTTTGCYAGTACACAACAACAAAACAAACATCTACACCACGGATTCACAGATAATTGCGTTCGCTGAAGAGCCCTTCAAACCAGATCAATTTTATCTACTGCAGGTACCAACTGCTCCTCAGTGAGGACGATAATACAGCTGTAGTGTTTTGTTTTTGGTTTGATAGCAGACAAACGGAGAAGACCTGCACATTTACACAGTTTGCTACATTGTTTTCTCTCTCGACTCTTCAGGCGATACAGTTTGTGTTCAAATATATGCTTCAGGAGATTAAAGGACTAAATAAGGCAGAAAAATGTTTTAAACATCCACACAAAAAGGAAGAAATAACTCACGTCTGTGGTATATAGATAAATATTGCACGTTTCCACACACTGTATATATAATAAACTTATGACTTTCCAGTGTCGACACCGAACACTCGTCAGGCTCCTYGTTCGGTCTGGATTGATTTTTCACATTGAATTTTTGAGAAAATAAAAGTTACTTACAAGCTTTCACAAACCTCTTCAATTCAAGTCCACTTTTCTCATGAAAGATGACATCGTGTTTACAGATTTCCATCTTTTAGAAGCAGGCATTCTTGCTAAATTATTAAAATAAAAGACACCGCTTCTCATGGAAGTGAAAAGCGGCGCTGGCTTATAAATAAGGGATTTCCTGACTCGGAGCTGGGAATGGATCGTCTGTGTTAGGTCTGAGTCAAACAGTCTTTAGAGTCTGTCTCTTGATGCGTTGTTGTTAAAGTGCTGACATGGAGGGTGGGACCCCTGTGCTGTCACAGGCTGGAGGGCTGTGTCTGCTGCTGGATCGGAGCGCGGTGGCTCGGCGGAGCCGGCTCGCAGTCGCTCGGTCCTTCCTCCATGCCCCGGGCGTACATGAGGACCAGGGTGACCGTGGCGAAAGTCGCTGCGTTCACGGGGAAGGCTCGTAGCAGCGTGGAGGTGAGGCCTCGCGTGAACACCATGTACCCCTCTCTCCTGACGCTCTGTCGCACGCAGTCCGCGATGCTGCTGTACCGGTTGACTCCGCCCACGCCGTCGGCCTGGAGCCGCGATTTGATCACGTCCACGGGATAGGTGGAGAGCCACGAGGCGATTCCGGCCATGCCGCCGGCGAACAGCAGCTTGGGGATCATGTAAGGGTCGTCGGGCTCGCATCCGAGGCTACGCGTCAGCACATCGTAGGCCAGGAAATACACTCCGAATCCGGGGGTTTCACGGATCAGCGTGGTCACCATGCCTCTGTTCACGCCCCACAGACCCTCCCGTTTGTAAATGCGCACCAAACAGTCCAGCGAGTTTTTATACGTCTTCCGAGAAGACTTCTTCTTCTCCCCGGTACCCTGCATTTGCATGCGGGTTTTGGCCAGCTCCATGGGGCAACAGATGACACACTGGATGGTGCCTGCAGCTGCACCAGCAAAGAACTGGTTTTTGGGAGTGTCCTGTCCAAGCAGGCGCATAGTGTTTCCCTGCACACCAAACACTATAGCATTGATGAATGTGAGGCCCATCATGGGAGAGCCAATGCCTTTATATAAACCAAATACCTGCAAGAATAGGAGACTCTGCATCAGAAAACACCAATAATATAATAAAAAAAATATTTTTAACTGGTCAGCACCTGCTTGTTGTGTTTTTTTTTTTTTTATTGTTTTTGTCTAGAAACAGAAATTCCTTAACCCAAACTCATTAATGTCTTACTAGGACCAGTGTTCAACATGTTTACACCTATGAATAAAACTTATTTATTGACACATTTTCATTCATTTTGCACTCATTTGAAAACACTTAGTTACCCACCATCCTGATTTTCTAGAACCTGCATATGAGCTGCTACTAATAAATATATGAAAAGAAAATGTTCATGCACATTTGATTTTTTGGGGAATTATTCTGCAGTCAAAACAATAAAATACTCTCCAGCTTAACAAAATGTTGGTTAAAGACAAATACATTTTTAAATATGTTTTTTGTTGCAATCACAGAAGATCTTTGCTGCTTTTAAGGAGCCACAGTTTAAAAAAGTATTTGAAAAGACCTGTGAAAAGGGTTTATCTTGATAATACAATCATTGCTACTAAGACTATGGTAATGAGAGAGTTGACTATCTTGCAAAAGCTGGCAGTCAGACCCACTTAAAAGGACTATTGTAGGTATTTCAACAACAGTCTGTATAACCGCCCTAGAGGCCTGGATTAGACGTCAGCACTCAATCCTCTGGAGGGAGCTAATGGACTGTAGACAGGCATAGGAACTGATTAACGGCCCAAACATTTGATTTTGGGAAAGCTCTCATTGCCCTGACAAGGAAAACTCTAAGTACACTGGTTGGAGTCCTAACTGGGCACAACCTGCTCAACTGCCATAAAATGGTGATGGGACTCCATGACAATGGTCTGTGTGATGACTGTGGTATTGAATTAGAGACCTCTTTGTACTAACTACTTAGACCACTGCCTGGCTCTGAGTAGTCAAAGGTAAAAAAAACTCTTGGGGATCCCTTTATGATCCTGAGAAACTCACAACACTGAGTATTTCTAACCTTGTGTCCTTCATCCAACAATTGTGAAAGCTACAATTACTTCTATCAAATGTGTCCCTCATTTAATATGYCTAATTCAGTTTTAAGGTCAAGACAGCATCATACAGTAACCTAACACCCCAAACGTTTAACTCACTTCCCACTCTTCCCATAATAACAAATTTGCTAAAGATAGATCTGTCTATCATTGTTGTTGTTGACAAATGGCATAAACCAGTACAGTGTGACAGTTTTGTCTGGCTCATGAATGCCAAAGATTTACGGTTTTAATGAATTGAACTCACCGACTCTTGTCTTAYGATGGACTGGAAACAGTGAAAGGTCCCACGATAGAGAGGCTTGTCAACACTCTGAACCTGCAGTCGAACCTGTTTGAAAAGACATTTTACTGATCAGTTACACTGCAAAAAATGTCCACCTAACCAAGTTTTAAAGTCTTATATCAGCCAAAAAGTCTTTTTGATCTCATTTTGAGACTGATTTATTAAACAAGAAGTGATTGTGTAAGAATAATAATCTTGTTTTCAGAATGTGTAAGATTATTTGTCTTGTTAGTCTGTCAATTTGACTCAAATTAAGTCAAATATTTCTGCCAATGAAGTAAGAAAATTTTACTTGGTAAGATTCTTAAAATACTTGATTTGACTCAATTTTTTCTTATTTCAAGAATCTTACTAAGTAAAATTTTCTTACTCCACTGGCAGAAATTTTTGACTTAATTTGAGTCAAACGTTCAGACTAACAAGACAAATAATCTTACACATTCTGAAAACAAGATGATTCTTCTTACACAATCAGTTCTTGTTTAGTAAATCAGTCTCAAAACAAGATCAAAAAGACTTTTTGGCTGGATATAAGATTTTAAAACTTGGTAAGATGGACAGTTTTTTGCAGTGTAAACCCTTTAACTCTGAAAGGACTTCACAATTTATTGACAATGCTCATAATCTGAGTAACCTGGTTGGATAGAAAGGATAAGTACGTTTACCATAGTCTGTTCTAGAGACTTGTTGAAAAACACAAAAATGCAGATATTTACGTATTTCGACATGAATTTGGTACTGCTTACCTTTACTGTATCGAAAGGGTGTCCTACCAATACTCCAGCAGCACCTGGAGACAATAAAACAAATATTTGATTTGAACGTAAAATGTATAGAAGGAATGTTTTAAGAAGGAAAATACAGTATAAAATGTAAGTTAGAAGAAAAACGTGAACGCAATGTTGTTGAGGTCATTTCATACTAAAGCTATATGTTCCAACTATWTATACTTCATGACTCAGAATCAACTGTGGGCTTCAACACCCTACAAAAACATCCTTAACCTGCCTTTGAATGTTACGTAACATGGGCGTAAGCAGCACATTCCTATGTTGTAATAGTTTGTGCTGCTTTCTTTAGTCCATGTTGAAAAATTCGACACGCTATTAAATAAGATTAAATGAAGATAAATACATTGCAATTACTTTCCTTTTAAAAAAAAATTGCCTCCTTCAGCAATTACATGCAGCTATGATCCATCTCTCTGCTGAATCAAGTTTCCCTGAGAGTATCAAGTGCGGCGAGGAGCTGTGATTATGAAACCATGTTCCTAAAGCCAACTTTTCATTCGGACACGGTCTCAAAAAAAAAGTACAAAACCTGTTTATAATACTCAGTTACAAGATAAGCTATTTAAATGGAAGTTGTCTTCATTTATTCTTTACCATTTTATCATTGGTTTTAATTACTTTTAAAAGAGTTATTTTATTTTTTTATTTTTGTAGCACTTTGAGATTTTTGTTAATGAAAAGTGC